TAGAAATATGAATTTACATTCTAGAATACAATTATATTTTTAGTTTGAGAATTTTATCAGTTCAGTTTTCTTTTCTTTCTTTCTTTTTTTTCTGGGATCTTCTTGTCTGAGCTCCCAAGTACTAGCAGTCCCCACACCTGGGGTCTCTATGTACTCTCTGTTGGTCCACAGCTTTATCTGGCTCCCAGTCATTGCCCCTGGACTCCAGTGGCCAAGGTATTCTTTTTTCCTTTCCCTTTCCCTGCTCCACAGTTCTACATACTTAGCCAAGCCTTGCATGAAAGTTCAGCAGGCCAGGGCCAGGAAGGACTGTGAATAAGTAAAATGTTGAGGCCAGTGTAGGTAGGGGACTAGTGGGGTGTTTCTCTCTGAGTCACTTGTTTGGTAGGAGGACAAAGTAGGGGCATACCAGGCTGAGGCAGATTGGGAAGCCAGGAATGGTTTCAGTGATGAACCAGGCTTCAAGCCCATGAGCTCAGGTAACCAAGAGAAGCTAAAAATGCCTTCTCTGCCAGCAGGACATGTCTTGAATGCCTGGCTAACAGTCCTGTCTCCCACTCAGCAGCTTTGCTTGTTAGAAGAGACGCTGCATTGCCACTAACGTCCTCACCTAGGAGTCTGGGGACTGGAGCTTTGAGATTGGAGCCTGTTTCCCCATTTCCTGCCTCCCCATAAAATGATGAGAGGCAGAAACTCCTTAGGCCTCAGTAGTTATAGGCCCCTTTGAACTGCGGGCAAAGTAATGGACACTCTTAACCTATATACAGACATCCTTAGCTCCTTGACTAAGAATGCCAGACTAAAAGTACTTTGAGGCCTTCCTGCCTTCAGGGGCCTGTGAATGGATGTTATGGATAAGTTAGAAATAATTACACACATTAGTACAGCCCTGTATAGGAGGCCCTAGAGTCTACTCTCCTTCGGCCCCATACAACACCCCAAAGAACAGGGTCATCATGCTCACTTAGCAGGTGAGGAAGCCAAAGTCAGAGTCTTGAGAACTTCCATTCAAGGTCAAATAGTAATGCTTAAATATTCATGTAGGGAACTATGCCCAGGTCTCTACATTTATCACTGGTGTGGATGACTTCAACACCAAGCCCTTCCATGTATTTGGCTCCATGCCCAGACTAGCCCTGTGCCCAAGGGGACATCTGGACCCACTTACATCCTTCAGCTCAAAGTGTGTCTAACTTTTCAGGCACTCACTGCAGGCCACCCAGTGTTTCTCAGTAGGACCTGGGACTCATACCAGAGGTCAGGCGCTGGGCATCAACTAAGGCCCAGCAACATCTTCCAGACAGACAGCACATGGTACAGACAGTGGGTTCTTATCAGAAGGTGGTGTGGATTAAGCCCAGGTGTAGCTAATGAGGACAGGCTGAGGAAGGGCCAGTGTGGTAGTGGTGGTGGGCTGGGCAAGGCATGATGGAGGGAGGGTAGGAAGAGCTGCTTACCCTAGTCTTCCCACACATCAGCAATGTGGTCCTTCCTTTCCCTCCACTGCCCCTGCTGGTGGCCTGAGGAGCTTTCCCAGGCTCAGGCCCTATTGACTTATTCTTTCTTCTCTGTTTCTTCTAACAAGGTCCTGTTCCACCTGCCCGTTCCTGTGCTGTGAGGGCTACAGAGAGATAAGATAAACCTTCTCAGGGGACATTGCCAAAGAGGGGTGGGAAGATTTTAATAGCTAACGATTGGGGAGGACTGAGGTGAGACTGTCTTCTAAACACACAGGAACATTGTACTTATGAACTCACAGCAGCTGTGGTTGCCTGTATAAGAGCAGCACAAAATCAAGTCAGTCAACATTTTATCATGGGGTGGGGGGTGCTCATGAGCCCACCCAAGTTGAGGAGCTACTGAAAGTTGATGGCTGTGACTGGAGAGTCAATTCTATTTAAGGGTATGGCCCCTGGTAGGTGGACTACACTACAGGGGATATTCCACACGCACAAGTGTAGGGGCAGCACAAACTGGATTTGGTGGCTTATAAAAAAATAAAGAAGGCATGAAGTTGGAAGGGTGGGGTGCATCTGGAAGGAGTTAGGAGGAGGAATGGGGGTGAATACGTTCAAAATACATTCTATGCAAGTATGAAATTCTCAGTTAATTAGACAGACAGATAGATTCTACCTCAGGAGTCTGTACGATTGGAAGATGAGCTCCTGTCCTTGAAAACCTTGTTAACTGGAGAAGAGAACAGATGAATGCCATCCAAGGCTGACTATGGTATAGCAATAGAGGTGGTTGGGATCACCACCTGCACAGGAGGGTAACTAATACAAGCTAGTGGAATCCTGAAAACTTCTTAGAGGTGGCTGAACTTGAACTTGACCTAGAAGTTTGGGGGAAGACTTGAGGAACTTTCTAGGCAGGGGAGTTGCTTGGGCAAGGGTGTGGAAGTAGGATGGCCAGAGACTTTCTGGCCAAAGCAGACAAAGCTTTGAGTTGGGTGGCTTGAATGACTTACTGAGCTGCCCCTGACTCACACATGTTCTCTCTCCACACAGGCCATGCCACTGAAACATTACTTCCTTTTGCTGGTGGGCTGCCAGGCCTGGGCTGCAGGCTTGGCCTACTATGGCTGCCCTAGTGAGTGTACCTGCTCCAGGGCCTCCCAGGTGGAGTGCACAGGAGCACGCATTGTGGCAATGCCTACCCCTCTGCCCTGGAATGCTATGAGCCTTCAGGTCCTCAACACACACATTACCGAACTCACTGAGGCCCCATTCCTCAACACCTCAGCCCTCATTGCCCTGAGGATGGAGAAGAATGAGCTGTCAAACATCATGCCAGGTGCCTTCCGAAACCTGGGCTCGCTGCGCTACCTCAGCCTCGCCAACAACAAGCTACAGATGCTGCCTGTTGGCCTCTTCCAGGGCCTGGACAACCTGGAATCCCTCCTTCTGTCTAGTAACCAGCTGGTGCAGATCCAGCCAGCCCACTTCTCCCAGTTTAGCAACCTTAAAGAACTGCAGTTGCATGGGAACCATCTGGAATATGTCCCTGATGGTGTCTTTGACCACCTGGTGGGACTCACCAAGCTCAATCTGGGTAAGAACAGCCTCACCCACTTGTCTCCCAGGGTCTTCCAGCACCTGGGCAACCTTCAGGTACTCCGGCTCTATGAGAACAGGCTCACAGACATTCCCATGGGCACCTTCGATGGGCTTGGCAACCTCCAGGAGCTGGCCCTCCAGCAGAACCAGATTGGCACACTCTCCCCTGGCCTCTTCCACAATAACCGCAACCTCCAGAGACTCTATCTCTCCAACAACCACATCTCGCAGCTGCCCCCTGGCATCTTCATGCAGCTGCCCCAGCTCAACCGGCTCACACTCTTTGGGAATTCCCTGAAGGAGCTCTCCCCGGGGGTCTTTGGGCCCATGCACAACCTTCGGGAGCTGTGGCTCTATGACAACCACATCACTTCCCTACCCGATAACATCTTCAACAACCTGCACCAGTTGCAAGTTCTGATTCTTAGTCGCAACCAGATCAGCTTCATCTCTCCAGGAGCATTTAATGGGCTGACAGAGCTTCGAGAACTGTCCCTCCACACCAACGCTTTGCAGGACCTGGATGGGAATGTCTTCCGAGCGTTGGCCAACCTCCAGAACATCTCTCTCCAGAACAACCGCCTCCGACAGCTTCCAGGCAACATCTTTGCCAATGTCAACGGCCTCATGACCATCCAGCTGCAGAACAACCAGCTGGAGAACTTGCCCCTGGGCATCTTTGATCACTTGGGGAACCTGTGTGAGCTGCGTCTCTATGACAACCCCTGGAGGTGTGACTCAGATATCCTTCCACTTCGCAACTGGCTCCTGCTTAACAAGGGCAGGTTGGGGACAGACGCTCTCCCAGTGTGTGCCAGCCCAGCCAATTTCCGCGGCCAGTCCCTTGTCATCATCAATGTCAATGTCGCTGTGCCTAGTGTCCAGGCCCCAGCAATCCCTGAGAGTCCCAGCTACCCAGAAGTGCCACGGTATGTAGATACACCCAGTTACCCTGACACACCCAGCTACCCCGAAGCTACATCCATCTTCTCTACTACGGAAGCCACCACTTCCATGGAAGACTACAGTGATCTGACCACCATCGACCCCACTGATGACCGCAATACCTGGGGCATGACCCGGGCCCAGAGTGGGCTGGCCATCGCTGCCATTGTAATTGGTGTCATTGCCTTAGCCTGTTCCCTAGCTGCCTGCATCTGCTGCTGCTGCTGTAAGAAGAGGAGCCAGGCTGTCCTGATGCAGATGAAGTCACCCAATGAGTGTTAGGGAGGCAGGTTCGTGCAGGGCTGGAGAAAGGCGAGACCAGAGCACCTGAGAATGTCATCATTTGGGCTCCAAACCTGTGTCCATACAGCCAAGCTCTGATGGCCCTCTAGACCTTAGAGAAAGTGCCCTATCGTGTCCTGACCTCCTGAGTCTTCTGTACAGAAATGGGCCTTTCAGGACCATCTACATCCAGAGGGATCGATCCAATTGGCCATAGAAAAACCTGAGGGATTTCTAGGTCAACACCCATGCTTCCTTCAGAAGGACCCTTTGCCAAATTATCATCACCTTTCCTCCAAGAACAACCTTCCCTGCTTCTGGCCCCTCCTAGCCTTGGTAGTCTTAATGATGACAAGGTCTGCTCACACAGTGGGATAATTCTCCATTGGGACAACCCATGCCTCAAAGTATTATATAAATTGATTTCCCTTCTTTTGCTTCTCTTTTTGTGCCATGGCTTGACTCTGTCCCCCCCAAGTGAAAGTTCTCTCCTTGGTTTCCTGCTGCTGAAGGCAGAATGAATTTTCTCCTTAAAGAAGGCTTTGAACCTTTTAGCTCCGTGTCCCTGGCTTGGAGGACGCTTTGAAGAGAGGACCCATGTCCCTCGGCTCTTGGACACACTCGTCATCGGCATCTCCTGGGATTTTTAGCTGAAGAAGGAAGAAAGGCGCCTATGTAACAAGTCCAGCCTTTTAGAGAATGAGGCTTCCAAACTGCAAACTTTCTTTTGAAGATCATAGTCCTTAATGGCACAAAATCATGAAGGATTGCCAAGTTCTAAAAATATCAGCTTGTTAGTATTGGATGGAGAAAGAAACCTGGTGCCTGGGGTCCTTACACTCACCTCTACATAGTTCCATTCCTATTTCTAATTGGATTATCACATACATACAGAAAAGTGAGAGTGTGATAATGTACAGACTGCTGAATTCTCATACACCACACCAAATAACATCAGAGTACCCACTACTCCAAGCTTGTTCTGGAAGACTTCTGGAGATGGCGTGGACTTGCTGGCTTCCTGTGTGAATGGGAGGAATCCTCACACCCCTCGCCCCATGGCCAGCCCTTACAAAGTCCCAGCTGCCAGGGATGGAAGAGAAGGTGTAGGTAGGAACAGGACAAGAGGCAGCCAGGTTGGCCAGGCTAGAGGCATCCTGACTACAGCAGCCTGTGAAAACACACTTCTTTCCTGCCAACAAGTCCTGTAATGCTCATTGGAGGCTCCTCCGCTGGACCTTTTATGGGCATGACATGCCCATATCTGTTTGTAATTTTTGCTTTCCATTTGGGGGAAGTGAAATAGCTCAAAGATGAGATCTTTCAGTTGAACATCCAAATATAATGGAAACCAGGAATCCTTCTACACTGTGGTCAAATTCTCCATCAACATTAGTCAGCTGGTAGCTAGACTGCAGGGTGTTCACAGACAGCAGATGTCAGGACACACTGGCAGGTCACACTGGGGGGCACAGCTAGATCTGGAGAGCCTCCTGTCTGGGGTCTGGTTACCAGTTGGGCCAGGGTTTTCTCTGAGTTATAATTGCAGTACACCTGCCTTGGCTATGCTTCTTGCTATCTAGTATCCACAGTATCCATATCCACAATGTTAAACAATTATGCTCAAGACAACCTCTCTCAGGACAACCGGTCCACATGTGCAGAACTAAAAACTGACTTGGAGAATTTCAGGTTTCTGTGTCACCCAGGGAGAATTTCAACTGACTGCAGGAATCTGGAAATCTATCTCTAATCTGGACTGGTGTTCACAGTACCCTCTGCCTTATAAGACAAATTAGAAATCCCCCCATAGCCGGGAACCGACAGGATGGCCAGGCTTCTTCCCCTCCAGTCCCCTGCCAGAAAAGCCCAGAAGGAATGTTTGTGAAAACTAGCACAGTGCGTCTTTTTAACTCTCTGTCCCAGAGAATCTGATGTCAGTCAAAAAACATCTCTCCAAAGCAAATCTGGGTTTTCAAGGACTTTTCAAATGATCTATAGCGTTTGGTGCACATGTATGAAGACTGGCCCCAACCCAAAAGTGAATGTAAGCATAGTTCTGGTGACTGTGGTCTGGTCTGTTGTGGACCTTTGGGTGGAGGGAGAGAAAGCTGGGCCTGCTCTTGCAGATGGAAACATGGTTTGGTACCATGTTCTCCAAAGCCAGAACCGTCAGGTACTTCTTGTGAGGTATGTCCAGCCCAAGTGGGCTAGGGATGGAAAGAGGATGAATTCTCTCCACCCAGGGTCCCCTGCCAATCTTATCCTGAGCCCTTGGCTGCTTCTGACATTCGGCAGGACACTGGAGTATTTCTCAGGCCCAAAGGCTGGCTTGAGGAGACACACACAGATGGTAGCGACAGTGGAGCCTTCCTGTGACCCTCCAAGCTCACTGCTTCTTTCTCCCTCCAGGAATGGCCTGCTCCTCACTGCCAGGCCTTTCAGATTTTCTGAACCATGTTGTCTAGCTAGGGAGGTGGTTGTAAAAAACTTCTTTCCAATAGGATAATGAATTTTCTCAATTCTTGGGGCTGGAATGAGCTCTGTGGTCCCCAGAAATTTGTGATAGGGTACAGAGTTCAATTCACTTTCCTCATCTGTTCACTGGTTTCTGGGTCACCCTCCATCACCAGCAGCCTTTATGTAGAATGGGAAGAGGAGTCAATGTTGGAGGAAAGCTAATAAAGGTCAATTCGAAACACCATGTTAAAAGATGTTCAGGTACCTGGGTACCTTTCAAAGCTCATGACACTCATTCTCCTTTAAACATTCTGGAAACCCTGTGGAATGAGTACCACCATTATAGTAAGGCATCGTGATGGTGCCTGTGACGGCCTGCTCTGTACATTGCTCAATAGGAGATCTCTGAACAAGACCTTATAGCCTGTCTGCAGCTTTCATCATGAGACCAGAGAAAACAGGACAGAGGCACAGCTGCCAGTCCTTGGAGCTTTTTCACAGGCAGCCGCTTTCAGATGGCAGAATAGAACCACTTCAGGAATCACCTTCCAACCTCATGGCCAATGAGACTGAATTTGGGGAGCACATGGGTAACTGGAGTCAGGAAGCAGGTGCTGCATGTGTCCTAGACAGCTGCAAGCCACTCAGAGATCCAGTCACAAACCCTGCAGTCAGAACCAGATCTTGCTGCAGGGAAGGTGCTGATGGTCTTGGGAGCAAAGCCACTGGACATAGTAGGCAGCAGACAGCTTCCAGGTGAAGTCCCTCCCAGCCCCAGGGCCCTTGTCCTAAGGAGAGTTTGTTCTCACCTCCCATTACCTTCACGCTGCCTTCTACAGCAATCAAGCTTGCTTTGCTAGAGGATCTCTGCAAATAGTCCCAAGTGCTTGGCAGTGCTGTTAGAGATTTGTAGGCCTCCAGGGGATTTATAGAGTGTGACCCCTGGTGGGCAGGGTTGCGGGTTTGTCCTTTGCTACCTGCTGCTTGTTACAGATTGGTGTATAGAATCAACAATAAATGGTATACACAGGATGTGTGTGTTCTCTGTGGACATCACGATGAGGGGTCTCACACCCGTGGATGCTGCTCTTGCCATCTATACGAAGGCCCGGATGGGATGGCCCTCATAAAAGTAGATCCTGGCCTTTGGAAAGAACATGGAGCCTGAATAGGAAATAAAAAATAACCATAGGCCACTGCGGTTAGGAGGGACTTTAAGAAGAGGTTCGACCCATTTTACAGACAAAGATTGTGCGTTCAAGATAGGAAATGAAAGCCAGGCTGGACATTGTGGCATACACCTTTAATCCCAGTACACAGGAGGCAGAGGTAGGTATATTTCTGTGAGTTAAAGGCCAGTTTGGTCTGTTTTGTGAGTTCCAGGCCAGCCAAGGATACATAGTGAGACTCCCATCTCAAAAGACAAAAAAAAAAGAAAAAAAAAAGAAAAAGGGACAGGAAATGAATTTCCCAGAGTTACCCTGTGAATTCATGGCTGGGCTAGCCTGAGACCTCAGATTCTCAGGCTGGGGCTGCTTCTATGTCACCAGGGCATTGAAATTCACTGGGTGTTCACTATGCAGTTCGGAAAAGGATGATCCACTGTTCCCTCATCCACTGTCTTAGCCAGGAAAGGGGCTTCATAGTGCACTTCATGGGCTCTCTTAACTCTCCTGCAGGTGTAAGTCTATTCCAGGAAATTGGGCTCTGATCAATAATGTTCACCATATTGTAGGGCTGGGCCCCTTTGATGATAGGAGACAGGTCTTCTTTATCCTTCCCTAATCACTTTAAGCCCACTGGGATACGTTTCTGGATATTGGCAAAAGGGATGAAATTTGCACGTCTGTCTCATGGATGATCCCTGGAGCTCATGATGCAAATCTCCCTCTACACATGCATGCACAGATGTACAGATGTGCACATACCTTCAGTTTGAACACATTACCCACCCGCCCCCTGGTATTAAAAAAAGAAAATTCATGAAACAAGCAAATCAACAAACAGAGCAAGAGACTGGCAGCTTCTTAGATCTTCTCTTAGTGGTATCACTGAGTGCTGAGCAAGGTTAGGGCCAGCTATAGCTGAGGTGACTTATGAGCCCAGAACTCCCCTCACAAGGGGGTGGCCCTCACCTCAGAGCAGCCTGGGGGCATGTTTTAAAGGCTAGTGGATACTTAGGGTCCTAAAGCTGCCAAGTCAGTACCCTCACTGGGGGTTTTAGCCCTATTAATCAGGCATCTGTTTGTGGGAAACATCCAGGGTCATTTTGCAATCTTCAGAGGCCTTGCCCTGATGGCCTTGGTGACATTCCAGGAAGAGTCAGTCCATGTGAGGGGAGGAACCCTGCCTGGAACTTTATCAAAGTGCTGGGGCTGGATTCAGCTGACCACAGACTGCACAGGACACGCTTCTGATCCCAAGGAAGAGGGGAAAGAGCCAGGGCTGCTGTCCCCACCAGCCCAGTCCCTCACGGTAGGCCTTCTGTGTCACTCTCAGGTCTCTGGGGATGTGGGGACATCTGGCCTAGGGTCCTGGCTGGTGCACTGGAAAGGGGCTTGCTGTTCTTCCCTGTTTCCCAGTTTCCCAGCCCCAACATGCTGCAGTAACTGGAACCCCTCCCCTGGATGAGCCCCTCAGCTAGGCCTGACTGGGAGGAGGCAGAAAATGTCGGGCAGGGGGATCCTAAGGGGAGGATGACTGGTCCTCTGGAATTGGCAGTGAATGGAGTTGGGCAGAGTGGCCAAGGTCCATGGTCCACCCTGGTCTGTGCCTGTCATCTGGCATAATTAGTACTGTTTCCCCTTTCATTCCCAGCGTAATGATAAAATGATAAAATTCATGGTCATTTAGGACTAAATTGAAAGTTTGCTATTTGCCAGGCACTGTGTGGTGCTTTATATGTACTGTCTAATCAGATACTAATTTTAACCCTGAGGGCTGGGGTTCTAATTACAATGAGGAAATTGAGGCTTAGAGATATGGAGGGATCTGCTTGAGCCCACACAGGTAGTAGGTACAGTGTCTGGATTTCAATACAGACCTGGCTGCATCAACAGAGCCAAAGCGCTTCGGCTCTCCACTAAGCCCGTGGTCACAGAGAGCCATGCACATTCCATTCATTGAGCCAGGTGCTGGGATGCAGAGGTGGGAACCAGGATCCAGAAACAGGACCCTGACTCCTGGGGTTCACTTAGGTGGATGCAGCTAACTCCAACATAGAACAGAAGGATCCAGTGTTCAGTAGAGGACACCAGTGACCTGCCATCTAAAGGAGGGGCAGTACAAGAAGGCTTCCTGGGGATTTTCACTGGCTTGGGGGGGTTGTAGAACAGGGAGAGGTGGGCACAGGCATTCTGAAGCATCACCAAGGACCTGGCAGGGGGGTATGGCAGGGGAGGAAAGTGCTAGCACCCGGGCGGTACCTTATGTCAAAATGCCAGCTTTTCCACAAAACCAAACTCCCTTGAGCCTTAGCAATGCCACTGCAGAGAGGTAATGACCAGGAAGCTCTCTCTCTCTCTCTCTCTCTCTCTCTCTCTCTCTCTCTCTCTCTCTGTGTGTGTGTGTGTGTGTAAGGGGTGACATTTGTGTGGGGGTCAAGCCTCACACCTTACAGGGGGTACTGGGATCTGTGCCTCCTGTTATACAGAGTACTCATTTAAAAATATTTTATTATTTTTATTTTCTGTGTATGAGTATATTGCTTGCATGTATGTAGTAAGTGCACCCATGTCATGCAATGCCCATGGAGGTCAGAAGAGGGAGCCAAATTCCCCTGGAACTGGAGTTACAGACCGTTGATAGCTACCATGTGGGTGCTGAGAATCAAACCTGGGTCCTCTGCAAGAGCAGCCAGTGCTCTTAACCACTGAGCCATCCCTCCAGCCCCGTATCTGTCACTCTAGAGGTACTGAGGAGACTCTTATTCCATCCCTATACCAGAGTCACTTCACCATTCCCTCAGGTCACATATCCAGGTTCCTTCTAGTTTTTTTTTTTTTAATTTTTTATTCATTTTTATTTTATGTGTATGAGTAGTGCACTGCATATAGGTAGGTGCACCTGTGTTATGGAATGCCCAAGGAGGTCAGAAGAGTGCATCAGAGCCCCTGGAACTGGAGTTATGGACAGTTGTTAGCCACCATGTGGGTGCTAGGAATTGAACCCATGTCCTCTGCAAGAACAACCAGTGCTCTCCAGTCTGGTTCCTTCTATTTTTATTTAAAAATTATTTATTTTTTGTGTGTATTAGTGTTTTGCCTGCATGTTAAGTACACCCATGTGTGCAATGCCTGCAGAGGCCAGAAGATGGTGTAAGATCCCCTAGAACTGGAGTTACTGATGGTTGTTAACCACTATCTGGTTCTGTGGAGCTGAATCTGGGTCCTCTGTAAGAGCAGCCAGTGCTCTTAACATCTGAGCCATCTCTCCACTCCCTGACCCCTATTTTGGATAGTCCAGTGCTGGTGTCACCTTCACGTGCCACATCTGCACTTACAGTGCTGTGAGTTAGGTGTCCTTATCATCCTTGTCACTGTGGTTCCAGATTCACCAACAGGAGGCAGGACCTCAGAGTCAGCTCCACTCTGTGGGCCCATGTGGAGATGGGGTGGAGCATCAGGGAGGAAGTTGTGCTGGGTCCTGACCTGCCTGCTGACCTCAGATTAGTTTGCTGGACTGAGAGGAAGGGAAACCAGGCCTGGGGAGCAGATGAGCCTCCAAAGACCCTTTTCTTGTTTCCACAGAAGCCACCGTCCAAGAGGCAGCTCCATCCTGCAGGTGAGGCAGATTTCAACCCAGTCGGTACCAAGCACTGGGCTCTGGGCTCCCAGCACTCTGTAGAGAAAGTAAGGCTTGGCTCTGTGGTGGATGACAGATCAGCTTGGGGCACATAGGAATGCATCACCCCAAGAGCGATTTGAGAAGAGGAAGGCCATTTTCACCCAGCCAACCAAAACAAAATAATAAGCATTTCAAAATGTAGAAAAGGCCAGGTATTTTTGGCTTGCCAGGGTGTGGAAGTATTGCTGTGGTCACTCACTGGTTTCCCCAGACACAAAGTAGATACCTTCCCAGGGTGTAGCCTCTGTTGCAGACCTCTACTCTTCCATAGCAGCAGAGAGCCCTGTAACTTGCTCTCTTGAAGAAGGGCTGGGAAGGGGCCCTGGGCTAAGCAGGGGTTTCTCTCCCTCCCCCTGGCCAGGGATGTCAGAGTCCATGCCCTCTAAAGCAAGGTCCCTTCACTGAGAAGGAAAGGGTTAGGAACAGGGCTGTGGGGAGGTGTTGCTCCACTCCGTGGTGGAGTGGTCGCATGATCTCATCGGTTTTTCCAGAGTAAACCTCTGATGACATCTCACCAGAGCTGAGCCATGCTAAGTTCAGAAGAGTAACGGGCACTATCAGGCCAGAAGCACTCTCACCCACCTCTGGGCTTGGAATTTTCTGTGCATTCTCTCACTTCATCCTTACACGATCCCCAGACAGGAGGTAGTATTGTGCTCACCACTTTAAGATGCAGAGAATGAAGCCCAGGCCACACAGTTAATTAGAGATAGATACAGGATTTGAGCCTAGACTGTCTGACTTCAGAACGCAAACTGTTATTTCTGAGTGGGAGTGAGTCTTGGCCTGGGAGTAGATCAAGTTCATACCTCCCTGTCTTCACAGCCCTGTCTCTACAGACTAGGGCAAGGGAGATATTGTCCTGAACCTTGGAGGGCCCTATTCTGGACTCTCTCCTCCGAACACAGCCCCCTGAACCCCACCCCAAGGGGTGAGAAGATAAGGCCAATGGCACATGCCCACCTTCAGGCAGTCCATCTTAAACCATGCTTCAGGTATTTAGGATTTGAGTCACTGTGGGTGATTTTTCAGAGCCATCTTCCCTAGACTGACCCTGCCATAGAAGGACATACCTTCTTAGCCTGTGGGCAGCTGTGGGTGAAGTGTCTACTCAGCCTAGCACGACTCAAATGGGAAAAGTGGACTGATGGTGGGATTCTCTGGTTTAATTCACTCTGGAATTAGAGAGGAGTCTGCCAGTCCCCAGTCATTCCCCTTCTGGTACAGAAGCCTTGCGGAGTCACAGCAAATACCCTTAAGGGCACAGACTCAGGACTCACCCTGGCCCCTTAACTCTGAGTTGTGCGCTGTGACAGTCCTGCTTTCCCTACCAAGGACACGTCTAGTTTTCTCTGAGTTTCAAGAGACCTGTTCTAGAGCTTTGTGAATGGGAGAACTATCAGTCACCTTTCTACCCCACCTGCCCTCAGCCCCCCATGGGAAACACACCCCTTCCTCCTCCACCTGAGAATGAGCTGATCCGTTGTCCCCTTATTTATTTATTATTTATTTATTTGTTTGTTTGTTATTGAAGTATCTTTATTTTATGTGTATGAGTGTTTTACGTGCATTTATGTAAGTGCACCTGTGTCATACAATGTCCGTGGAGGTTACAAGATAGCGTTGGATCCCCTGGAACTGGAGTTATGGATGGTTGTTAGTTGCTATGTGGGTGCTGGGAACCGAACCTGGTTCTCTGCAAGAGCAATCAGTCCCTTGGCCCCCTTTCTTAAGGCAGGTTTGCAAATAGATACTTTCTAAGATGAAATTGCGTGATGGAGGATGCAGCCAGCAGAGGGCAGCAGAGAGACAGCCAGAGAATTAAAGCCAACCTTGGAAGTAAACTGGCTCAGAAGGAAACAGAAAACATTTTAGAACTATGCTCTAAGAGATTTTCTGTCTTGATTTTTTTTTCAGTAAAGTCAAATGTATTCTATCTACATGATATTTTTTTCCTTATTTTTTTGAAGTTTATTCAGTAAGAAAATTTAAGTCATTTCTTTCCTTTTGATGTTTTCCAATTCTGTTATATCTTCCAACACAGAGATAAACCATTGTTATGTAAGAAAATTGTTGGTACGTTCCTACATTATTTTTAAATAATTTTTATTTTTAAAAAATTTTTTATTGAATTTTTGTGTATTTTATACAGAACATCTTAATAATCATTATACCCTCTTTCCCATTGGTCTCCTCCCATAGGTGCCCCCCCACTTTGATATATTCTGTCATTTTTGTTAAGGCCTATCATGTCAAGTTAGCATTTCCAGATGTCCCTCAGTGCAAGTTCATCCACCCAGGTCTAGTCAGCCTATCTAGAATCCCTCCCTTTAAGAAGATAGCTCTTCTTCGCTTAGCAATAATCAGCTGCCAATAATTCTTTGATTAAGATTGGGGCCTGCTGTCCATTTCCACAGTTCTGAGCTGTGTTTTTGTCTGCTTGAGTTTGCATGGGTCTTGTGCATGCTGACACCATTGCTGTAGGGTTGTATGAGAAGAGTCCTAGGATCCTGTAGGACTATTTCCATATGGTCATGCACCTCCTCCTGGCTCTTACAATCTTTCCGTCCCCTCTTCCACAATGGTCCCTGAGCCCTGGGTGGCTGGATTTTAATATAGGAGTCCTGTCCAAGGATCCATACTCTGTAGACTCTTATTCTCTATGTTTTGACCATTTGTAGCCTTTTATGTTCCTGGCCCTCTGTTACATGAGGGAGCTTCATTGATGAGAATTGAAAAATGCCTTAGTGTTCTCTTCTTCATCCCTTGTTTTATGTTCTGTAAGCCTTAGGTGTAGAGGTCGATTGCATTGTACATGTGCCACTTAGGCTTGGGCAATTCACAGACAATCTCTGTGTGTGACCAGTTGTGGAAGTCTGTAGTAATCTCTGTCTCTTGAAAAAGAAGCTTCTTTGATGGGTGGTAACTGGGATACTTGTCTGTAAATTTAAGGTTCTATATTTTGCACATAGTAAGAAATTACATTTGTCTAGGGTTGTGACAGCCCAAGATCTATGACTTCTCCACCTATGTGTATTTGGCTAGGTTTATGGTACCACGCATGAGTTTTCTTCCATTGAGTGGGTTTTAATCCTTACTATTTTTATTCAAATAGTCTTTTTGGTAAGGATGGTGCCTTGCAACCTAACAGCAGTTAATATAGTTTCCTAATTGCTCATTCTGTTGCCTGATTTGAAACTCATGTTCGTCTAATGCTCACAATTATAGAATATGGAAGGCACTGCTATTACACATAAGGACGTTGAAGCACAGATAATAACATGCCCAAAGTTACTTGGCTATAAGGCCATGGACCAGGGATTTGACTCAAGGGCCATGTAAATGACTGAATGACGCCACTGTGGCCTAGAGTACACACCTTCTAATGGGCAGGGGCAACTGAGCCCCATTTGGTCTTGGCAGGTAGGAATGTGATTCAATTGCTTCCAGATAATCCTGACATGTGAACCATATGGCTTCCCAGTCTTTATGTGTGACCTACAGATTAAGAGACATAAGGTTCACCAAGGAATAAACAAACTGCAAGCTACATTCATGATCTGTTAGTAGATGTTGACAGGCTTCTTTTGGAGTTGTTTTATTTTGAGATAGGACTGCTTGATACGGCCCAGGCTGACTTTGAGCTTTTTAGGTAGTCCAGACTGGCCTAACTTGTTTGATTCTCCTGCCCCACCCTCCAGAGTGCTGGGATTGCCAGTGTGCACCACTGTGCTAGCCTTTTTTTTTTTTTAAGGTTTATTTTTATTTATGTGGAGGTGCCCACAGAGAAGGAGTCAGAGATTCTGTAGCTGGAGTAATAGGCAATTGTGAGCCTCCTGATATGGGTGCTGGGAACTGAACTCATGTCCTCTGGAAGAGCAGCAAGTACTCTTAACTATTGAGCCTTCTCTCCAGCCCTTAGACTTTTAAAATTTTTTAAAAATTATTTATTTAATAACCACACAATCAGAAGAATTTCATTATAACAGCATTGACATATTCAATAACAATTTCCAGAGCTAAGATGCATCTCCTTCAAAACTGGCTATAAATTTTTAGGTTTACAGTTGAATTAATACAGTTAGACAATATTGTACTCAGTATGAACCCTATAAGACATAAAATTAAATGAGGTTCAAACTTTAAAAAGATGTCCATTTCACTATTAAAATACAGTTTCATACAGAAAGATTCATTTTCAATACAATTGACACTAAGATGCACACGCATTTGTAATCTCTATATATCTGATTATTACTAGTCACAGTTACTTTATGAGCTCCTTGGCATCTGAGCATGAATATACAGTCATCAGGTAGATTTCAATGGTAATGTTTTTGGCCTCTACAAATTAAGACAAAGTAAATTTTTATGCTTCCTCCTCAAATATGTCTTTTCTTTTTAATTTGTTGATTTTGTGTGTGTGTGTATATCATATAGAACATTCCACACAATCTTATTCATGTATACCCACATCCCAAATGGTACCCTCCCATAGCCTCACCCCCTTACTGGAGCCCAAATCCTCTGTCATCTCTGTTACTGCCCACTGTGTTGTCACCGACCCTAGCTGTTCTCTGGTGCAAGTCCGACCACTGAGTCTCGTCAGCCTATCGATAGTTCCTTGTTTTAGGAAGATCAGCTCTTCTTCATCTAGCAGCAGTCCTAGCTGCCAATGTTCCTTTAGACAAGATTGGGGTCTGTTCTTCATTTTCCCAGTTCTATGCTGGGTTACTCTCTGGGAGTCTCTTGGGCCACCCTGGCCAACAACTCAAAGGACGGTATCTCCTGTCTGGCATTGTTCCTTGTTATGTAGCCTTTGGCTATGCACATGGACACTTAAAGAGTTATACTGATCACTTTAATCATTGGTTATACTTTCCTTTGGGGTGTTTAAGACAGTTGGCCCAAATAAACCAATTTATTTTTACTCTTAA